ACCTGAATGCTGTCACGTGTGGGGCGGCAGCCTGCGACATGATACTAAACAACAAACTGACGTCATCAGCAGGCGACCCCCACCTGACGGCGCTATAGCGCTCGGAGCGCCCGGGAGGCCGACGCCGAGCCTGTGCATGTCTTCGGCCACACATCAGTGCGCGGATCTCCTGACGCCCGTGCACCGCAGCGTCTGCCGCGCGCATCTGTCCGTGCACTCCGACAGCGCGGGCCACGATGGCGGACTGCGTCGGCTTCCAAGCGCAGATCGCCTCCATCATAGAGATGCTGGCCAACTCGGCGGTGGCCGAAATTTGCAAACTGGTGGACGACGGCTACGCGGCGCTGCGCTCTCAGATGGAGCAGGAGCGGGAGAAGAGCGAGAAGGAGAACCGAGCCCTGCGGCAGAGGCTGCGAGACATGGACGTGAAGATGCGGAGCTGCGAGAGGAGGATGAGGAGACGGAGTCAGCGCGAGGAGCATCACACGGCGCATTTTAGGCCGCCCAAAGGTAGGGGAGCGGGACACCCTGCACACCCATCCAGCTGTGAGCTCAGTAATGATTATACTGCTGCACCCAGCCCCGTGTGCTAGTCTGAGAAATTCGTCCAGGCTCCCATGAAGAGCATGGTAAAAGATGGCTCGCATGTTTTGTCCCAGCAAACCTTCAGGTGTCCTCCAATGCTGGTTGGTGTAACATGCACCTGCTGATCTGCTGCACAGCCACCTGTGGAGTTCAGCAAAAGGCACAATATCCAGTGAGCTCAGTGAAAAGGTGTAGTTGATGTTAGAGCAAATCAGAGCTCGTTACAACCGAGGTGTGCAGAAGTGCTACAGAAGAACAGGAAGCACTGCTCACACAGGCTCAGCAGAACTGGAGACGAGTGGAAACACTGGCAGGTGTGACGGGTTTCTGCTGCCACGCGGTACAGCTCATAGACATCAGATATGGGGACGTGTGGCGTGTCTGTCTGATAATGTGGCTGCGTGACACACAGCTGAAACACGTGGGCGAGCACATGTTCAATGTCCTGTGTTATTTTTCAGGACCTGATGACCATCAGCCCCCGGCACTCCCTCCTCTGGCTCTTTCTGAAGGCAAGCCCTTTCATCCCGTTTCAAAGGTAAAGATGAATCGTGCACTAGGCTGGTACGTCATATAACCTCAGCTCTCTGCACTTTGTGAACCTCTAATCCGAAGATCAGTCTTTTTTTTATTAATACAAGAATCGAACATTATATTCATCAGTGTTGATCTGAGACCGTGTGACAAAGAGAAAAGGTCCACATCCTAAGGTTAGACTCAGATATTTAAATTCAATTCAATTTCAATTCAATTTTATTTATATAGCGCCAAATCACAACAAAAGTCGCCTCAAGGCGCTTCATAGATACAGAGAAAAACCCAACAATCATATGACCCCCTATGAGCAGCACTTTGGCGACAGTGGGAAGGAAAAACTCCCTTTTAACAGGAAGAAACCTCCGGCAGATATGTCTGAGTCCACCCTCTAACATGTTTCACATGTTATTCACTCTAAAAACATTACTTTGTCAGGTTCAGGATCTTTAAAAGGTTCTGTTGGTTTAGGCCCTAAAGAAGGAACGGTTGGAGTTAGGAATAAAACATAAACTGAATCAGAAAAAGTTCATGGTTTGGGTTCAAAGTCAGCTTTATTGATACAGCTCCAAATCACAGCAACAGTCACCTCAAGGTGCTTTATACTGTGAGGTCGACTCTACAATGATACAGAGAAATCACAACAATGAGCGAGCACTTTGGCGACAGTGGGAAGGAAGAACTCCCTTTTAACAGGCTCAGGGTGGAGCCACCACCTGAGACCAGTTAGGGGTGAGGGGAGGAAGACAGGATAAAGACATGCTGTGGAAGAGAGACAGAGGTTAATAACAGATATGATTCAGTGCAGAGAGGTCTGTTAACACAGTGAGTGAAGAAGAAACACCCAATGCATCATGGGAATCCCCGGCAGCCTATTGCAGCATAACTAAGGGAGGATTCAGGGTCACCTGGTCCAGGCCTAACTATATGCTTTAGCAAAAAGGAAAGTTTTAAGCCTAATCTTAAAAGTAGAGATAGTGTCTGTCTCCTGAATCCAAACTGGAAGCTGGTTCCCTCACATTGTTGTTCTTGGTTGCTATGACAACCTTTCCCCACTGTGTGCACCACAGACACAAAACCTGTTCCCTACTGAAACACATTACTCCTGCTGCTGATGTCATAACTGATGTCTGCTCCACATTTTGCAGCGAGACCGTCTCTGCATCTGTGCCTGGGAGCCAGTGACAGCCGAGAGTCACGGTGTGCACACGTGCAGTTGTTTCTATTTTGGATGCAAAAGGTCTTGAATGTCTTCCTTCAGCGTCGTGACTGCTGTGTGGGACAGAAATGATTGATGCAGCAGCTGAAACTGTTGGGCTCGTTTGTCTTTTCTCAGCAGGAGGAAGCCAAGATGTTGACGCTGGTGAAGCAGGAAAAAGAGGAGAGAGATGACTGCAACTTGGACCTGAAGGTGGAGGTTAACATAAGGGCGGAGTGTGGCCTCTCTGCAGGTGAGTGTGGCCCCCACACCGTTACATCAGTGTTTTGTTGGCTGCTCACATGGTTTCACTGTTACTGTCTGTCCTACAGCTTTGGAGCCCAGCGAGGAAAGCCCCCCTGCTGACACTGTCCTCGACACCAGCGTCAGCAGCCTCACATCCTCCACATCACAGCTGTCCTCCTCTCCCGCTGATGCCACCATGGACCTGACCTGCAGGCCTCGAGCAAAACGTAAGGCTGCTAAGCCCGTAGGCAACACCGAGGGGGTCCTGGCCTCCGAAGCGGCTCGCAGGGACCCTTCGGGGAGCCTACCTGATATGGCTCTGAAGCCGGAGGTCCAGACAGATGAGCTCACAGAAGATGAGCTTCATCCCTCTCAGCTGTCGGCCACTATAGCCTCTGATGAGTCGAGCTGCGACCGCCTCAACAGCCTGGGCCTGGATCTGGCCTGGATGCAGGAGCGTGTCAGCCACCTGGGAGCAGCCTATGCAGTAGCACAGCTGGGTTTGGGGAACTCGGACAGCGGGCACCCTTCTGCCTCCTTCCCCTCACAGGGAGGTGGAGAAAGTCTCGACGGCCCCCCGACTATGCTCTTTACAGGCGGCGCTCACGAGATGGCTGCTTTTGCTGCCTCCTTCGACATGGCTGCTGCTGCCGCCGCCGTAGTGGCTGCACCCCCTCCACCTCCGCCCCCTCCCCCTCCTCCGACAGCTCCCACTGGCACTGCCAGCAGCCAGAGGCGGCCTTACAGGAGCAGCACCGCCGCCACAAAAGAGCCGGTGGCGTGCCCTGTGTGCGGACGTGTGTTCCCCAGCACCGCCGGCCTGGAGTTGCACCAGCGGGTGCACACCGGGGAAAGACCTTACACTTGCCCTCACTGTGGGAAGGGCTTTGCCCAGCCCAACAACCTGCGGGTTCACCTCCTCATCCACACCGGTGAGAGGCGTTATCGGTGCACACTGTGCGGGAAGAGTTTCATCTCATCGAGCCATCTGAAGAGGCACCGTACGGTTCACACGCAGGAGAAACCCTACAGCTGCTCGCGCTGCGGCCAGTCCTTCAGCCAGATGTGTAGCGTCCGCAGACACCGGCAACAGTCTCAGTGCGGCCTGTAGCATGAACGCTGTAGCAGCATCTGACACACTCTGGACTCTGAATG